GGCACAGATTCCCAGGGATTCGAGAGGATCCCAAGGACTTGCACTGATAAGTATATTTCAAAGAGCCACATTTCAATTGTGTTCAGTTCTGTGACCTAAAATGAAGACTTCCTAATAACAAGTTTTCAGACCTAGTGGGTTACTTTATTACCTTCTCTTTGTTTTATAAGAGCTAGAGGCAACATGCTTCTGACTAGGTGGAGCAATTATAACTAATTGCTTTTACAACACTAAGATAGAGAGCCCATAAGAGGTATTCAGTCCAGAATTGAGTAAACCATAAAATAAACACCTACTTCTTTACATATATGCATTCTTCTTTTCATTGAAAATAATTTTTCCTCACATAATATTCTGTGATAATGGCTTTTCTCTCTCTTTACTACTCTGTTTCTTTCCACTGCCCCTCCCATTTGGATCCACTACCTGTCTCTCATTAAAAAGCAAAAAAGCTTCTAAGGGATAAAAATAAAATATGATAAAATTAAATAGAAGACTATTACACATCAGAGTTGGACAAGACAATCAAACAGAAGGAAAAGAGCCCAAGAAAAGACAAAGAAGCCAGAGACACACTCGTTCATACACTCAGTAACCCCATAAAATCACTAAACTGGTAGCCATACTATATATTCAGAGGACCTGGTACAGTCTGGCACAAACCTATGCATACTGCCTCAGTCTCTGTGTGTTCATATGAGCTTTGCTCATGCTGATTTAGAGGGCATTGTTTCCTTGGTGTTCTCCATCTCCTCTGGCTCTTACATTCTTCTGTCTCCTCTTTTGTGGGGTTCCCTGAACCTTGAAGGGAGGGATCTATAGCTATAAATTTTTACCTTATGAAAAAATACAAATACAATGCAATTAGGCTCATGTCACAATCCTTACACAGGCTTTAGCACTAGTTAATAATATTTAATGATATGGCTAGAGAGAAGACTCAGTGGTTGAGAGCCCTTCTTGTAGAAGGATCAAATTCAGTTCTCAATACCCATGTAGAGTGGGTCTCAATTGCTGTAACCCCGGGTCCAGGGTATATAGTACTTATTTATGCCTTTCAGTGGCACTTTCACTCACCTAGACGTACCTTTATACACAGATCTACACTTACACACACACACACACACACACACACACACACACACACACACACACAACCTAAAAAAATAAGTCTTAAAAGGGTAATTAATGTTTAAAATTTATACAAAGCCAAGTTTGAAATTAAAGATGATAAACTCTAGTCAGTGAGGGGCACAAAGCTCACAACACCCACTGGGTATCTGGATCAGGTAATGATTATAGGACTGATGTCCAAACCCAACAGGCTCAGCTCAAAGTGGTAGAGGCTGAAGGCACAGCAGGAAGTTACAACAGGGTTTCCTGGGGAAAGTCTAGGAAATATACATGGAAGACCTCGATCTGCCAAACAGGTCAAAAGCCAACAATCAGAAGGGCAAATTGAAAGGTGACGAGGTAACACCTGGTCAGAACATTGGACCCCCAGTAGGAACAAATGCAAAATCAGCATTTCATTAGATGCTGTCTACCGCCCAAGCCACACGAAGGCAAAGAACCAGTCACTCACATTTTCAATGAATAAAAAGTTATCAACAAGAATTAGAAGCTTCACTCTTTTGGCAAACAAAACTTACCAGCAAGAATAGAAGCCATACAAGAAAACTTAGCAGCCTGAAAGGAAAAGTACTAACGAACAGGAAAAATCATGATGAAACGAGGAATACAAAATTTATAGAAGTGTGTTTTAAATAAATATAATGAAAATAAAGCTTATCTTTAAAAAATCAAGTGTAGATTTTTCTTTCATTACCTCAACTTCAAAGTAAACTCTTGCTCAAAATGGGATGCCCTTTTTCAAAATATATTTTTACATATGTGGCAACCTTACCACCCTGCAATAACACTCCACTCAATTTAAATATCATCACTTGTATGTGGAAGATACAAGTGATGATATTTAAATATATATATATAAAATATATATATAATATATATATAATATATATATATAATATATATATATATATATACACAACACCCCTGCACCCTGAAAAAGAAATGCCCTCTTCTACTGCATGAACTCAGATTGCTTCTTTAGCCAGTGTGCTATGAATGGGCACACATTATTTTCAATGTTTTCTATATAATAAAGTGTCCACCTTTGTACATCTTATTATTTTATTAGGACAAGTTCCTAGAAAGAAAATCATTGGCCTGAACACACACCCACTGAATTAGGAACTACTATCAAGCTATCCTCCAGAAAAGCTGCAACCATTTACACTGCTGAGTGTCTTTACATGCATGTACTTTGGGTCAGAGGTTCAATAGGTAAGTTGAGAGTAGATCAAGTTAGCAGAGATTCAACTAGCTACATAAGAAAAACAGAAGATGGCTCACAGTCTTGCTGGCCCTCTACAAACAACAGAAGAGGAACATAAGCATGCCCATATGTGTGCAAGACAAGTCAATCCTGCCTGTGGACCAGACTTCAAATTGGGATGCCACTGCACCTGCAGTCATCACCATAGGGTACCACCATGACTGTAGCTTCCCATCTTTACCTGCTCACCTTCTGTGAAATGATGGGCAAATTTTGTTTATGCGTGATTGAGATTTCTATTCTGTTTATCCTCAAACATGTCAGTGTGGAAACCCTAGACTCTCGTTGTTCCAGCATGTCATTGTAGATGATTTGGACAAACTCCAATGAACATAGTTTCTAACTGTGGTCTATCGTTTTGGAAAGGCAGAGGGACACTTTACAGAACTGTAGGATTTTTCCAAAGAAGCACAAAATCATATATTCAACATGAATTCAGAAGCAATCAAACCACATAAGATCTGAATCGACTTTCTGTAAATATTTTTGAAGAATAGAGATATAATCTGGAAATATTTAATTACATTTAAACTAAAATAAAACAAATATCAAGAATTAGTTTTTTTTTTCTTTTCCCCAGTTGGATTCTTAATATTTCAGGCATCCTTTAACTCAGGCAAGCTCTATTTATCTTCAGAGTAAAATCAGACCCCAAGGATATTTTTTCCTAAATTTTCAGGATGCCTGTATAACACCACAGATTGATTAAGTTTAGATGTTATGGTAACGCTCACTTATCACTAGCTCTGCTCACAAGCTAAATTCAGACCATCCACCAGTTTCCTTTAAGGAGCTATTTCTCTGTGTGAAAATATTCAGTGAAAAGTGTTTGCAATATCTTCCTCACCAATCATTCACTGGTTCTTACATCACACCCACAGATACATGTGAGTAATTTCATCCGTTTTTAATTATCTAGCCAGAGAGGAAGCAATAATGGTCATCATTCATAGCCACAGGTAAAGCAAAAACAAAATCACATTTTAATCCAGAAAACACGATTTGGGAGCGAGGCAGGAGAATCATGGTAAAACAGCCAGGTGGCCTTACTACTTGCAAATTTTCCTTGGGTTCTTATATTGGCTTTCCAAGTGCTGCACACACTTACTCACTCAAACAAACTCAATCAATGGGAATTCTCTTGTAGGGAGTCCAAAAAGAGAGGAAACAAATGTCTATGAAGATTAATTCTCTCAATTTGAATAAGAAAGTTAAAATGAACATCATCAGCACTTGGCATGGACATCCTCACTGAGTTCACACAAAAATCCACAGATTCTTTTCTCTTACAATACACCCTGATTACAGTTTTCCCTCCCTCTACTCCTCCCAGTTTCTCCCCACCATCCATCTAAATCCTCTCACTTTCTTTCCCTCATCAGAAAAGAACAGGCTCCTAAGAGATAATAATGAAATATCACAAAATAAAACATTATAAGACAAAAACTATCCTATCAAATTTGGATAAGACAAACCAACAGGAGGAAAAGAAACTCACTCATGCACCCAGGACCCCCCCCCCCAAAAAAAAAAAACTAATTAGATACTAATTGGAATATTATGAGCAGAGGATCAGGTGCAGCCCTGTGCAGACCCTGTGCGTGTTGACTCTGTTTCTGTGAGTTCATATGAACTTTGTTCATGTTATTCATAGGACCCTGTTTTCATGGTGCCCTCCATCCCCTCTGGCTCTTACACTCCTTCTGCTTCCTCTTCTGCAGATTCCCCTAACTCTGATGGGAAGCATTTGACGGAAACAACCCATTTAGGGCTGGATGTTCTAAGATCTCTCTCTCTGTCTTTGTCTCTGTCTCTCTCTAAAATGTCAGGCTGTGGGTCTCTGTGTTTGTATACCATGACTTTTAAGACAAGAGAAAGTCTTTATAAATGGCTGTCCTCATCAAAATTTCACTAACAATCAGAAACCCACTGTTTGGTGTTCTTTCAGTTGTATGGTACCTAAATATAGCCCAAAGATTATGAAGAGTAACCCTCCATCAAAATAGGAAAGTTGTGTGTTTCATCAACTAAGGTTTACCATTTTCTGACTCATAGGATGATTAAAGAAACAGTAAGCCTAGCACCAAGAGTGCTTTAAATCTTTCATATATGCACACAATTTACAAAAGTCGGTTATTGTTATTAATAGCTTTTTGTCAGCAAAAGCCCCTTAGGATCAGGCTTTTACAAAATGCTTTCAGAAGCACAAAATCATTTACTGAACTTATCTCATCCTAATAGGGGAGTCAGATTTTAGGATTCTTTTATAGATGGAGAACATGAAACCTAAAGTTGCATAACTTGTACAAAATAAAAAGATTTAAAAATCTATTGCTGTTAGACACAAGAGGGTCTTTTCTATTATCATTGGTCCAGAGCCTCGGACTGTGGGGCTGCCACACATGTGTTTTGATTTCACCCAAAGGGAATTCATTTAACATTGTCATTTATTATCACTTATCAGCAAGACACAATACTGGTATTACGAAAGATACATCAGTAATTAGCAGGAGCACTCTTAGCATTTCTCCATGGCTGGACCATGGCTGAGCGAGGCTATAGCCTCAGACTTTTAGTCCTTAATTGGCAAATGGCTCACCTTTGATGTCTCAGCTTCTCCCTGCAGTTTCTTGGGGGTTCCTTTTTGGTCAGAAACCTTCTGGAAATTTTTGTTTTTAATGGATTGAGAGTCTACACCTTCACCTTCAATTTGCAGTTTAATTCCTTCAGCATGGGCAGGGTGATCAATACCCCGTGGATTCAAACCACAGTGGAGAGCTAGGAAAGACGAATAAATAGAGCTCAGAAAACAAATCATACAAAGAAAGTGTCTGTGACAGAAAATATTTCATCAGGCCTAAGTGGGAAAAAACAAGGTGTCTGTGAGCTGAGTGGTGGCATAATGACTCTGGGACATAGCACTTATGAGGAAAGAACATAGCACTGAAGGAAACCTTGAGCTTGGAAGCATAAATCTAAAACCCCTCCATTCAAAAGACTTTCACATTGAGCACATTATTAATGTCCACATTACAGATGGACCACCCAATCAGGCAGCTTCATTCCTGCCTCCCACTTAGCAGAAATAGCCCTGCAGTCCGGTTTATTGCTCGGTCTTCATCTAGAAACTGATCACTCCCTACACCCTACTGAATCCTTCTATTCATAAGACATGCATCCATTCAATCCACCCTCTTATATTCATTCAACAATATTGGGCATGTATACATACTATCTCTGGGGTAGACTCTTTCAACATGGACTTAACACAAGTGGAACATTCTCAGAACTATGCAGACAAATAAACTAATGACTTTTAAAAGTTATCACTGCTTCAAGAAAGAGAATGAAAAACCAGGGTGGAGGGGTTATGGTACTCAAGCCCAGTAGCTTCTAATTTTTTAGTTTTTATAGCATCTAAACTAAATATCTCTACCAATAAAGTTCATATTTTGGAATATTCATTCATTTGGAAACATGTAAAAGCTCCTTCTCTGTATAAGCTCCTCCTCTGTATCCAGTCTTACCTAAGAAAAAACAATGAATTTTATGAGAATCATATATTCCCCTAGACAATTCCCACAAACCACCACTTGCACATGTGTCTTTATATTTACATGTGTGCACACAGCATATACACACTTGTGTTGTAGGATGTGCCATAACAAAACATTTTGGATCTTTGGGCTCCAAAACCATTAGATTCAAATTTCCATCCTCATCTTCAGCTCTTTGATCTCAGATGATTCAAAGTCAAATACTAAAACCTCCTTTGTATCTCCATTAGGACATGAATATAGGATAAGTTCCTATCTTCCATTATCTTTAGCTTTCCCCCCTTTTGTTCTTCCTTGTTGATTGGTCACCTCTGCAACTCTACCCTACTGTATTGTCTAATCTATCTAATATCTAATAGGTGGTTCCCTCTCCTCTTACTGTCTTCTGAATGCATTTTACAGGGAGGACTACTTTGAGAGAACACTTTCTAATAGAAGTGAGATAAGGCATGCTTTTTCCCATTCTTTAGTTTTTTTGTTTGTGTGTTTTTTATTGTGTTGTTGTTAACAAGTACTATTGATTCCCTTAGCTTTTGATACAGGAAATATCCAAATATAACCTATTCAAAACTGAACTTCATTTTTCCTACCACAAATATCTGCCCATTGATTTCCCCAAAGCTGAGGAGTCATGCTTGGCTTCACTGTCCCCAAGATTCAACATAATCTCTCCTATCTATTAGCAAAAACCATTAACTGGAACTAAAACAACTGTCCAAATGTATCCCCCATTCCATTTCCACTCTCACCACCATAGAAAAGACAGGAATCACATACTCAGACTGCCAACCTAATTCATCTGCTTTTCTTGTCCCTTAAGACCCATGTATATAATGATGTGTATATCATGTCACGAAACTCCTTTGCTTAAAACTTTCTAGTGGCCTCATTTTATATTTACATAATTCAGAAATCTTCATCTTGTCCAACAAGACCTATCATTATCTGTCCTCTTGATCTTTCCAGCTTCTCTGCCCACACCAAATGCCCTTTGATCACGATGCTTTTTTCCACAGGCTTCCTTTTTTCTTTACCAAGTTCTTTCCCAACTCAAAGATTCTTGCCTTTCTCTGATTAAAATGTTCTCTATTATTCACCTAACTTATGCTTAGCTATTCAGTTTTGCCTTTAATATGACTTTTCTATATGTGTCCTTTTCTAATCGTCTCCCTCACCCCTACACCTGAACCTTCCCCTTCAATACAAGGTACCTTGAAGAATAAATATCCAATAATCTAAGCCATCTGCTTGAAAGGAAGATCATAGGCATGCAATTTCCTGCCATTTTATACAGACATTATTAGAGGATTTCTTTTCCCCTCATCTCCAGCTTTCCTAAAAGCAATGAAAAGTCACATCACAAAGTTTAGCACTCAGCAAGTATCAGTTCATGTGGCCTCCCTCAGGCTTTGTTCTGAACCTCAAATGATATTCATGAAAAACATGGCCAGACATAATGATATTCATTTTTCAGATAAGGGAAATGAGGCTAAAAAGGGTTACGGTCACAAAGGTCACACTGATGTCTGCCGAAGGTCACAAAGATCAAGAATCATTTGAAATGCACATGAATTTAACTTAGAGATGAGCACATCTAAACTAGATTAGATAGAAAGGAAACTTGTAAGCTTTTATAATGGAAAGTTCTAAGTATAAGTCCCAAGCTAGGTGAGTTTATAACTCAACAGTCCTCTAAAGGACCTTGATCTCCTTCCCTATCTCTCCAAGTTGCTATTGGTTTCCTCACCTTTATCCTACAACTATAGATCCTTGAGCTACATGCTTCAGGTATTAACCTTGAAGAAGAGAGTACTTAGGCATAGTTCTTCCCCCAAATCATCCTCTGAACTTTAATCCCTTCTCATTGGCTGAAAGTGAGTAACATGTTCATTATTGACCAAGTGAACTTAAGCCAAGCAAAATTCAACTAAGGTCAGTTTTCCAAAAAATCTACTGCCACTACTCAACAGAGTCAGGAATAGAACACATATTGGAGAACAAGCTACAGTGCTCGAGTTACAGTGATGGAAAGAGAACTAGTGAGAACATGAAACTAATTACTGTTAATATCAATCAGCTTCTCATCTCCAAAGACTAGCCTACTTAAAATGAATATTCAATTAAGTATACTAAAATTGTGATTATTCTAAAAAGGTGTGCTTCAGTAGGGAGATAGTAGATTCACAAGGGATAGAATTAGACATTAATGAGGGAAAGAAAAATGCCCAGCTTTGATCTTTCTCTTCCAGTATAATCCCCTGTTGCTTTATGCATTGAAATTCAGGTGTGGGAATACCACTGAAGTTCTATGAGCTTCCAACACCTCAGATTCTCTTGCCCTATCACCTCCCACCAAATCAGACTCTAATACACCCTTTGTCTATCCCCATGGGTCTCTCCCTTAGAAAGAAGTTTTATTCTACCTGTCTATTAATTTAAATTTCCACCAGGAGTCCACTTAGCTTCCACTTGAATGGAGGGTGCATATAAAAAAAGATGGTGTCTTAAAAAATGGAACCTTAAGATCATGCTAGATATATACACATCCGTGGCATGGAAGATTTTCCATGCTTATGGTTTTTAGCAGTGAGATTCTAACACACAGTTTGGGTTTTAACTCTTCATTTTGAAGTTTCCAATGTTAAGAATTTAAATAAAAGTAAAAGTTGGAAAACCTTCAGGTAAAGAACTTCAAGCTTCCTATGGTATCAATTCAATAACTAGCAGAGGAATATTTGAGAAAATTCAAAGAAATATGAAGGGGATCAAAGCTGACCCATGAGTATCTGAGCCCATTAAACTGAGTAAATAACTTTAGTAAAAACAAGCAAGGGTGGTGATGAAGACAGAAACGAGAAAGGAAAAAAGGGCACCCTGCACATGATGAATAGAGATGAAGGTCAGACCTTAGAAGAGGCCACTGGAACATCACTTGATTTGTAAATATCAGGGACATGAAATTTCAGGGACAACAAAGCAAAGCCTGTCAGAAATATATTTAAACAAATAACTCAGAGCAAAAACCTAAATCAATGCTAGGTTTGCAGTCAAGGAGGGGATTGCTGCAGAAGATTTAAATATTTATGTGATGGACAAATAAGGCTACATGTATAGGAAGTCAAGAAACTATACTGTGCCTCTTGTTTATAGACTGTCACATACTGTGAACACCAAATATTTCACTCCTGGAGAAAAACTTCTAGCGGATTTAAGGCCTGCTTTTGTAAAGAGAGGAGATGTCCGGTTGATTCTACAGTTGAACAAATGTTTCTTTTCTTAGATATGTATTAGAATCTGTGCTTGAGAACTAGGACTGGAGACCATGGAGAAGACTAAGAGATGGTGTGCATCTGTCCTCCTCAGATTTGCAGCTGTGGTAGGGAAGGCAGACACATCAATGTAATGAACAGATCTTTACTACTTGGGCATTGAGCTACCAAGAACAGTTGTATGAGACAATGGAACCAAAGGATTATTGCTGAGGAAGAGGTCCAGGCTGAAATATATGGTAGTAGGCTGGCTCCTCAAACAAAGGTGCAGATCTGCTGAAGAGGGAATAGCATGAGCACAGAGCAAGAAAATAAATTCTGGGTTCATGCTGGGCAATGACAAAAAAAGAAGGAAAAATAAGAGTGATACTGGTAAATAAAAAAGTAAAGCAATCTAAATGTTCATTAGTAGAAGAAGGACTGGGAAAAGTGTGACAAATATAAAACAATTACAATTTAGCCTTAAACACAAATTCTTGATGAACACTGAGGAAATTATGATAAATGAAATAAGACTGTCACAAAAGGACAAATATAGTTCTGTATAGTGACTTGAGACTTGGAAGACTGAGGCACGGGGATTCTCACAAGTTTGAGGCCTAGTCTCGGTAATGAATTTCAGATCAGTCTGAAATACAGAGAGCAATCTTGTCTCAAGAAACCAAGAGGGAGTAAAAAGCCAAGAATTTTATGAGTACTTAGAACAAAACATTCATGAATCCACTTAATATAAGTATTTAGAGAAGCCAAATATACAAAATTCAAAATAAAACAATTGTTGCCAAGGGAATCACTCTAAATGAAGTCCCATCTAAACTTGCTTCAAAGCAAGCTCTGTTCTTTCAGAGCTATTCGAGCTATTCATAGCTCTCAGAGCTCTGTACCTCAGAGCTATTTTGCTGTGACTTAGGTCTTAGTATTAAACAAGTAAGTGCTAGGGTCATTTTGTCTC